AGAAAAGGAACTAAAGTCTTTTACATGGACTGCTCAAAATTGCGATCCTATCAAGCCACATCTAATTGTCTGTAGCCATTCGAGTCAATCGAATGGGTGCGAATGAGATTTTTTCCGCTTGAATGGTATACCACATACATCTGTAGATATTACAAAATATGAATATTTTCTATTTATATTAGAGATATATAATTAGTAATTATTAATTTCTTTAATTTTAAGAATTTATTTGTGCTTTGTCTTTTTTGGGAAAATGCCTGAAATTGTTGAAACTAATAATTCATTTGAAGAAATTGATACAAATTACGACGGAAAGTAAGAATCAAAAATTTTTTGTCACAATAATGAGTTTATATATACAAATGTATATAGAATTGATAAAGATGAATTTCGAAAATGGGTTTCAAATAATGAAGGAATGTCTTCTACAACGTATGAAACGTCGACTAGTGGCGTGTATCTTCGTGATACTAGTGATAGCCGATTGAATCGAAGCAATTATGAAACATCGGCAAGTGAGATTTACCTTAATGGTGATAATATTTGACGATCGCAACGAAATATATATGGTACACATGGAACTGTAACAGTAGCTAAAGACTGGAAGAATGCATCGGTGATTGAAACAAATAGTTTGGAAGAGACCAATGAATATTTTGAACGAGCAGGTAATATTTATAAGGATTCTAATCCATTAATTATTCGAAAAGCAATAACGGATAAACCGATAACATATCGACAGCGAGTTCTTGTTCGATATCTTCAACCACCAGCGGTTCAACCACCAGGAGTAATCAAACTAGTATTTTTAGATGCAATTTGACTAATCTTTATATAATTTTAGCCACTCGTTATTAAAGAAGTGCGTGCACCTCAACCAGCACCACTTCCACCACTTATCATACGTCAATATATGCAACCTGCTGTTACACCACCGCCACTTATCTTACGTGAACGACCACCAACACCACCACCAGCTATTCCTAGTGAAACAGGTTTAAAAAAATAACAAATTTAAATTACATATATATATATGAGATTAATCAATATATTTCATTTTATGGTTATTCGTCAGGTGCCTCCTCCTCCACGATCAGTTATTATCGAACGTTTTCCATCTGCTCCGAAAAAACCACGTAAAAAGAATAATTTTCACTTTTCTCATTAGAGATCGTTGTTTTCTTACGATTTAGGTGATATTATCATTGAACGATGGCTTCCTTATGGACCTCTACCTGAACGTCGTACAATTGTTGAAGAGGCTTCGGCTGCTATAACATATCCAGAACCACGTAATAAGATCATTATGTATGAACGTGTTGAATCAGATGTAGTTCGGCAATTTGAAAAAGAAGGTGTTTTCAGCGAAGATCCTGCCCATTATGTAGCTCGTTATGGAGATTCACTTTTAGATTCAACGACACTTATTAAA